CAACAACAACAACGTGAGATTAAGGAATTGTTATGCATTAAATCTCATTTGTACAGAAACAGAATAACTCAAGCTTTCTAGAAAGCAAAGTGTATGAGTAAAGACTAGGAATTGTGTTTGTGAATAACAAATATGGTGTGACCTTCAGAAAGAATAATTTAGTAGTATATGACAGCTGTAACAGTTTGTGGTTCAGAACAAAGATAGTTCCAGCGCTCAGCAGTAGTCCAATTGTCTGTCACTGGAAATGCTCGCACTCTAGAGAATATCAGAAGAAGCCACGCAGGATGATATTTACTGAGCATTTCTCATGTGGAGAAAATTACTGTTCTGAATGCTTTGCATGTCTCAATTCTGTAACAACTCCATGAGTTAGGTCCTCTATGATCCTTAATTTACAAATAAGGAGAGTAGTCAGATTAAAGGTTGGTGAAAGATTATCCTATACATTGTGATTAGATTGAATGCTAGGTGGCTAAAAAAAAAAGACACAGATTCCTTTTTACGAATCTTTTTTAGAGAGAGCCTGTTTGCTAAGTGTTCCTACGATTGCAGCAAGAGGAGAGTGCACTTGCCTTTGCAATGGGAAGCAGGTTATAACTTCAGGAGAATTATGAGAGAGTTCTCTCAAATTATGATGAAAATCAATACCACCTAATTCTTAAAAAATAAAAAAGTAAGTGTTACAGTCCTTACTCTTTCTTTACACAGTGCATTGCATTTGGCTTGACATATATGATGCACAGTAAGAGGTAAACTGCCTCTTGACATTGACTCTGAACTGCCATTTTATATATTTGTCTAAGTAACTCAGGCTATTTAAACATAAGACTTGAGAAAATATACTAAAGCTACAAAGGACAGCATTGTATCCATGTCTGTTGTTATTGTTGTTAGGTGCCATCAAGTCGAGTACGACTCAAAGTGACCCTATGAATAACAGATCTGAACCCTATCCTATCCTATGCCATCTTCACACTTACTGACACACTAGCGTCCATTGTGGCAGTCACCATGGCAGTCCACCTGATCGAGGTCTTTCTCTCCTTCGCCAACGCTCCCCCCTTCCAAGTGTCATGTGTCTCTCCAAGGAGCATGCTCCTAGCAACATGCCCGAAATATGTAAGGCAAAGCCTCGTCATCCTTGCCTCTGGCTGCACCTTCTGCCAGACATATTTGTTTGTTCTTTTGGCTTGGCAGTCTATGAGATACTCAGTGCTCTTCTCCAACACCACAGCTCAAAAGCATCAGTTCTTCTGCTGTCTTTTATTTATTGCCAAGCTCTCAGTTGCATAGCAAGTGATTGGAAAGACCATGGCCTGAATCAGATACTGCTTAGCCCTCAAACTGACATCATTACTCCTCAATATTTTGAGAGGTCCCTAACTGCAGATTTTCCCAGTGCAGTATATCTCCTTATTTCCTTACTGCTGGTATCATTGGTGCTAATTGTGGATCCAGGATGAAGCTGTTGACAGTTTAAGTCTCTTTCCATCCATCATGATGTGCCTATTGGTCTAGTGATAAGAATCTTTCTTTTCTTGACACTGACATGCAGTCCTTACTGAAGCCTGTATTCCTTGATCTTCTGCAACAAGTAATTCAAGTCCTCCTCACTTTCAGCAAGCAAGATTGTATCATCTGCATAACTCAATTTATTGATGAGTCTCCCTCCAATCGTGATGCCACATTTCTGTTCATAGAGTCCAGCTTTTTAAATAATTTGCTCAGCATACAGATTAAATAGGTTTGGAGAGAGAATACAACCCTGATACACTCCTTTCTTAATTTTAAATCAGGCTCCCTTAATTTTAAACCATATTCCCCAGCTCTGTTCGCACAACAGCCGACATGTAGAATACATGTCTACAGTAGGTTAAAACCTGAATCTTTTCTAGACAAAAGTACAGATTTTGTCATTAATATGCTTTAACTGGTTAACAATGGGAATCCCAGAACATTTAATTGTACATCATATGAAACCTATACTATACATAGAATAAGAAACAATTGTCCTAATAGAGCACGGCCGGGTGGTTTAAAATCAGGTCAGATGTGATTGAGGTTGTATCCTTTTTTCATGCTTATTCAGTCTGTGTGCTGAGTAAATCATTCGAGAAAGTGAAGTATAAGAAGAAAATGTGGGAACAGAATTAGGGGAAGACTCATCGAAAACCTGCTGCATTCAGATAACACAGCCTTGCTTATAGAAACTCAAGAGGACTTGAAGCACTTCTTGCAGAAGAGCAAAGATTACAGCCTTCACTATGGATTCTGTCTCAATATCAAGAAAATAAAAAACCCTCACTATTGGAACAGTAGGCAGAATCATTATAGATGAAGTGGTCAAGGATTTTTTTTTAAACTTGGATCCACAATCAACATCCATTGTAAAAGCAGTCAAGAAATCAAAAGATGTATTACATTTGAGAAACCCTGTCAAGGATCTGTCCAAAGTTCTAAAGAACAAGGATATCAGTTTAAATACTATGGTGCACCTGAACCAAGCCATGGCATTTTCAGTTGTTCCGTAGGCATCTAACAGTTGGACAAGAACAGGAGAAAAATTGATGCCTATGAAATGTATTGGTAAAAAGTATTGGATGCCCCATGGACTACCAAAAGAACAAACAAATCTGCCTTAAGGCACGTGCAAACAGAGTATTCCTTAGAGGCAAGGATAATGAAATTTGGTTTCATTATTTTGGACATTATTTTCAGGAGGGTCTAGTCCTTGAAAAAAAGACATCGTGCTTGGAAAACTGGAGAGTCAACAAAAGAGAGGAAGACCTTCAATCAGATAGTGACTTCAAACAGTGACTTTAATACCAGGTTCAAGTATATCGTGAGGATAATGCAAAACAGGACAAGTTTCAAATCTGTTGTTCATCGGGTCCCTGTGCATCTCAGATTACGCAACAGTGCTTCACAACACAGAAATTGAAAAGTGGGCTTACAAAGGTCTTACATTACAAATTTCCATTACAGAAAGTGATGTTTGTGATCTTTGGATATATTTTCTTTGGTGTGTTTTTTTTTTTTACTTACTAATATGAGGAACTCCTTTTAAATTTCTAGGTGCATATCTCCAATATTTTTTTGTACCGTGCATAGAGCAAATAAAGTACCTTCTGTAAGTCATGCACACCTTTCTTTTAATATTGTATTCCCTGGAGTACTATGTCTCATTTTATCTTCACATTATTCCTAGGAGTCAAGAGCAAGCAATAGCTGTTAGAAAAACTAGAACTAAAACACCATACTTCTTGAATCGTAGCTTGTTATTCTTTATATTATAAATAAAAGCTTGTTGCTTTGTAGTTTTTATAAAATGAGAAATAAAATATGATATCTAAGAGAAAACTATTGCTTTACTTTTTCTATAAAATATTCTCTGTGAAGAAGAATATGACATCAGAATTGGAAGAAACTCATCAGTAACCCCTGTTATGCAGATAGCACAACCTGACTTGCTGAAAGTAAGGAGGATGTGAAGTGCTTGCTGCAAAACATCACAGGCTGCAGCCCTTCGATATGGATTGAATCTCAGTGTAAATGAAAAACAAAATTATGCCTCTTCCATATTTCCTTCTCATGGAGAAAGGTCCTCCATCCCTTTGGGAGATAACTTTCTAATCCATTTTTACTTTTTCTTTTTAACTTAAAAAAAGAAAACAAAATTCTCACTGGTGGACTGATAGGCAACATCATGACACGTGGAGAAAAGATCGAAACTGCCAACAACTTCATCTTACTTAGATCCACGATCACTATACTTGGTGTGAACCATCAGAAGATACTGCAGTGGGGAAATCTGTAGTCAGGGACCTCTCCAAATTATAGAGGAGCAGCGGTACTATTTTAAGGACTATCATGTGCCTCATTTAACCGTGGTCTTTTCAGTCACTTGCTATGCTTTTGAAAGCTGGACAGTGAATATGGATGACAGAAAAATTTATGCTTTTGAGTTATAGTGTTGAGAGTGAGTTCTGAATATCCCATGGACTGCCAAAAGAACAAACAAATATGGCTTGGAGAAGGTCCAGCAAGAGTGGTCGCTGAAGGCAAAGATGATAAACCTTCATCTCACATACTAAGTGCAAAGTTATTCCTTGAAGAGGGACATCATGCTTGGAAAAGTGGGGGGATGGTGAAAAAGACAAAGACTCCCAATAACAATAGATAGATACAAAATTGAAGTTGTCAGTAATTTCATTTAAGTTGGATACACAATCAACATCCATGGTAACAGCAGTCAAGAGATCAAAAGACTTTAAGCAGCAATGGGATCCACTTCCTAAACAACATGCCTTTGGAAACTCTGAGAACTTTGATAAATGTGGAAAGTTATAGAAAGGCTCAGGCCTTTTGTTCATAGGGTCGCTATGCACCAGGCTCGACTCGCTAGCAATCAACAACAAACAACAACAAGAATAATAATTTCAGTTCTCTGGCCCTGACTTTTGCTCCAACTCTTACCAATTCCCAGCCCTTTCATACAGCCTTGAAACAATGTATATTTATTTCTCAGGGCAGTGGTATCCTTCATGACTAACCTTATTTCTCTCTCCAACACAGTGCTGTCCATGCTTCCAACACTGAGAGAGGCCTTAATGCAGCAGCTCAACTCTGAGAGCCTCACAGCTCTGCTAAAAAACAGGTAAATACACACTATAGCGATTTTTCATCTCTCTGCTACAAGTTTATACACTAAACTGAAATACTTGTCACAAATCTTTGTGATCTTATATTTCTTTCCAGTTGAAGCATATGATAGATTGATTCAGTGAGAAAAAATGACGAGAAAAAAATTAACCAATTATATTATTGACTCTGTATTTTGTGTATTGATTATTTTTATTTGTCCATGTATTTATCTTCTACCTTTTTGTGTCAAATGCGATAATGGTTACCCATGGTAGACATTGCTTGGTGGCGCTCGCTGGTTAAAACAAGCTTGGAAGCAGGAGTGGCATCCACTTCCAAAATTGCTTGCCCCCAGAAACTCTATGAACCAGGAGAAAGGATGAAAGTCATGCATGCAAGAGTCGAGGACTTTTGTTCATAGGGTCGCTATGAGCCGCCTACAGCTTGACGGCACTCAACAAGACAACAACTACCTTGTTGCATGAATCCTTTAGGGAAACAAAATTTACATGTGTTCTATTTTTCATATAAGTAACTTGATCTTCTATCACTCTCCCACTATGGAGACATTTAGTTATTGAGGACTTACGGAATGTGTTCCTGAACAGAGATGGTAATGCTGACCAAGTTGCGTTAACTATTGTACTTTTTACAATATGCTTTTTACAAATGCTGGCGAGGTTGTGGAGAAACTGGAACCCTGATTCACTGTTGGTGGGAGTGTAAAATGGTGCAACCCCTGTGGAAAGCAGTATGGCGCTTTCTCAAAAAGTTGCAAATAGAGATACCATTTGACCCAGCAATTCCACTACTGGGAATATACCCTGAAGAGACCATAGCTGACATCCAAGCAGATATATGCACACCCATGTTTATTGCAGCTTTGTTCACAATAACAAGGAGTTGGAAACAACCTAAGTGCCCATCAACAAATGAATGGCTAGAGAAGCTGTGGTATATTCGCACAATGGAATACTACGCTGCATTAAAAAACAAGGAACTCATGCAATATTATTCAAAATGGTTGACTCAGGAGAACATTATGCTGAGTGAAATATCCCAGTCACAAAAGGACAAATATTACATGATGCCACTGTTGTAGAATGGGACTGTCCTTGGGGTTGGGGAGAGACTGAGTAAGATGGGTTCAATAATGTATACTGCACTGAAACAGAGGAGGGAGAAAACTGTTTAAAAGAGATATATAACTAGGTATTTCTGTCATCACAGGAGACTAGAGTGAGGGCTACATGGTGGAGGGGACCTGGGGGAGGGTTTGCAAAACAATGAAAGAATCTTTTCTTTTACTTTTCCATAATTTTTGACTCATGTACTTATAACTTGTTAGTCAAATTTGTGTCTTCTAGGTTGCAACACCCCCATGATACATCTTCAAGGATATGAACATGTACGGCCAAGCACAATCAATAAGAGTGCATCTAAATTCCAAAATCAATCTCCATAATAGTCTATGTGTTTCCTACTGCCAAAGGGGCCCTTTAGAGTAGTGAGAGAAGATCCTCACCCTGAAACCCACAGCGTCCCTTTTCAGCAGGAAATAGCTAAGAGAATACGCCATCCCCTTTTCCTTATGACTCAGGGTGAAGTCTCTCTCAGGGAGGAGTGATAGGGAATGGCAAAGGACACACTGACAAAGAAGATTAATCAGAACTGGCTTTGACAAGCACTGTGGCATTTGGACAAGAACAAACTGGGAGGAGGGTAGAGAGAATAGTGCAACAATGAATGAGTGGAACCCAAAATCTCTGTAAATGTTTATGAAAATTAATAAAATATAATTATAGAAAAAAAAAAACTATTGTACTTTTAAAGAGCTTAATAAATGTACAAGATCCCTAGGAGACCGGTATTATCATTGCCATTTTGCACCTAAGAGTTTATGGTTTAAAAACCAAGCTGGTCAATTTCCTTGAAAAGAAATTTCTGTAACCACAGACTAGTCCCAAAGCTGTAATGAGTTATATATTTGAGATTTAAAAAATAAAACTCGGATTAAAGTATTATGCTGATAAAAAGGTTTTCCCCCATAAATTTTATTTGTATCCCTTAAAGTGACAGAATTTCATTCCTACTACACATTTTTGTTTATAAATTTTAAGACCTCATAGAAAAAAAAAACAAACAGGAAATTGTTCCTAGGCAAATAAATACTTAAGACCAGATATATGTACCTAAGTAGGAGTAGAAAAGAAACAGATTTTAGTTTTTTTACATGTTAGGCATAATCAGAAATCCAACATGCTAAGTAGGCTTAGTAAGTAAGACTGAAGGAATCAAGTCAGTAGAATTCCCGGAGCAAATTAAATAGTCCCTCAGTGGCCAAAGAGGAACAATTTGAACACTGGAAGTTTAGTAATTACAATGGATTGAATCGTATCAGATAACCATATACTTAAATTTATGTATAATGATGCTTTTAGACAAAAAACAACTTATTAGTTACTTTTGTGAGATTCTGGGTCCCACCTTATTTGTAAACCAGTAAGTGAAGAAAACAAAAAACTGTTTTTTCAACTTTTCTTATGTAATTTTATAATATATCCATGAATATACTCAAGAGGGTAAAAAGCCTAAAACATTCCATCTAAATTATTGCTTTCATAAGCACTGGAGTTTGGTATGGGTTTTTTTCAAATCTTTTTTTCTATTTTTCAGATTTTCACTGTGAACCTGTATTGGTTTTCATTGTGTTCAAGAAAACTCAATATAGACTGATAAAGTAACTCTTCTGTTTATCTAAATTATTATTTTTATGTTAATGATTTTCTTTTTCTCCCCAGGCCTTCAAACAAAGTAGAAATATGGGAGGATCTGAAGATAATAAGTAAGCCTGCATTCTATGTGACACACAGCCTTAAAGCATTAACAAAGGGAAATTTGAATACTCTGTTAGGGGCTGACTCTTCTTTTTCAACTTTATAGGGTTATTAGAATTAAATATAACTGTTTTCAGAAAAAATACAGTAGTTCACAGGAAATAGATGGGTATCTGGCCTTAGAAGGGACTCAGTAGAGATGTGGTGATTATGCTGTTTTTGTGAAATCGTCCTGGATAGTGTTTCACTCCTGACCACCAACCTGGTAGATACAAACCACATACCTTTGTGTTAACAGCGTACCTCCTTTCACTAGGCCACCAGAGCTCTCTATAAGTTTCTTTAGTAAAGAAAATTTGAGACAGAAAACATTCTGGGGCCTAGATATATATATATGTACCTACGGATCCTTGTGGTTCAGGGCGAAGCTGCTAACCTAGACGCTGGCTGCTTGAATCCACTAGCTGCTCCAAGAGATAAAGACAGGCAGTTTTGTCTGATAAAGGTTTACAGCCTCTGAAACCCAGTGAGTCAGAAATTACTTCCGGGCAGCTGCTGGGTGTAGAGTTACCTGTGTCTCAGAACTTCGGTTACATCCAACACTTACTGCTGTTCTCCCATTTGTTAACCTAGTTCTTGACTGAATCAGCTTAAGTCTTGACTACTTGTAAGCAAACTAAATCTCCATAGAATCAAGTGGCACAGTGTTTTAAGTGCTCAACTTTGAACTGAAAAGTCCCACTGCACCAGCTAAGGGCAGAAGATGTGGCAGTCTGCTTATGTAAAAACTGCAGCCCTGAAAACCCTGTGGGTGTCCTCCTCTGTCCTGCAGGGTCACTAAGTGGTGACAGGCTTGATGTTTTGTTTTGTTTTTTCATTTAGTGCACTTAGTGCATTTACTATTTTCTTTTGGCTTGCACTTTCCCCACACACTTTTCCCTTCACTCCTACCCCTCTTTGATGCATTACAGCCTAGCTCCCCTATCTCTATCCATCTAAGCAGATCTCACAAGCATTAAGAGTAACTCATGTGTTGCTAAATCTTCCAACACCTTTGCTGTCTTCTATGTCGAAACCAAGTCCTTGCTTTCTGTGAAGCCTGGTCACACAGTTTCACCATCTCTCTGGATCTTCCTTCATTCCTTTTACAACTTCATCTTTCACCAGCAGCTCCACGGAAAAAAAGATGTCCTCTCCTTCCCTTAAGATTTACAGATGTCAGCAACCCAAACGAGAGTTCACTGAGTCAGAACTGTCTTAGGGCTGTTTGGTTTTAGGTGAAGACAAGAGTTCTCCCATGCTTGGCCCTCTTTCCTAATCTTCTAAATGGCCTCTGCAGTGCTAAGAGTTCTGAGGCAGGAGCTCTCGAAGTTTCCCAGCCCACTCATTTTCCTCTGAAAAGTAGAACTGTGTAACTCTTCAGGCTAATATGTTTGCATTGCCTATTGGATTCTGAAGCTTCACCTGAGATACATTGGTCATTTTGCAAAGAGGGACCAGTCCTTGGAAAAAGTACATTATACTTGAGAGGGTGAAGAGACAACACAAGAGAGGAAGACCCTCAATGAGATGGATTGATTCAGTGACTGGGGCAATGGGGGTAAGTGTGTCAGAAACAATAAATTAGCTTAGAATAGAATAGGGTTTAGAGCTATTGTACATAGGGTTGCTGTGAGTCACAAGCAACTTGACAGCACCTAACAACAACATAAGCTATAAAGTCACTTTATTAAAAACAATAGTCACATAAATTGTTCATGATTTTACACATTTGTGTTTTACTATTGACCCCAAACGATTTTCTTTTTTTTTCTAACTGAGGTTTTACCAGAAGCATCGTAGCTGTGTACAGCACTTGTATGCTGGTGGTTCTTTTGCGAGTCCAGTTAAACATAATTGGTGGATACATATACCTGGATAATGCTGCAGTTGGCAAAAATGGCACTGTAAGTTGAATCCCTTACTAAGTATGCCCTTTTCTTTTAAAAAAGCTTCAAATTTGACTGAATGTTATTTAACCTGATAGAAATGTCCATGAAATAAGTATCTGCATACTTCAGATGACTATAATCTTGATTTTTCACTTTTTAAAACTGAACATTTGATATGTTAAAAACTATTCCTTCTCCTCCTTCATGACAAGTCCCAAAAACTGTAGTTCAAGTTATACTGAATTCATTTTTTACTAGGGGGAAGAAAAAGACCTCGTATAATTGATAATTTAACTTATTTCTATTTTGTGTAGACAGTTCTTGCTCCTCCAGATGTCCAACAACAATATTTATCAAGTATTCAACACCTCCTTGGAGATGGTAAGATTCTTATTAGTGATCTTTCTACTGACTTTTATTCATTAATTTGTATTATTTGAGGAATATAAAAAGTTTGTAAGATACTGAGGTATGTTCATTTCTCTATGAACAGGCCTGACTGAATTGATCACAGTCATTAAACAAGCTGTGCAGAAGATTTTAGGAAGGTAAGGCATTGGGCTTTTAGCTTTTCTGACTAATTACTTCTGATGAAAAAAAGAAAAGTTAAATCAGTGCAGGGACACTGATGATTTGATAAGTGGTAGTTTGTGGAATTCTTTGCAACTGGGGTATTCGGTTGTGGAATCCCTTTGTCTTCATCAATATCAACCATTTGATACAATCATCAAAGTTTTAACATTTCATTTCTTGTTGATTGGTTTCTAGAGAGCCCATAAATTTTTGGGTTGTGTAACAGACAACCTACTTTTCTTAAAAAAAAAAAAAGACGACGACGACCTACTTTAAAATGTGCTTCTGAGCCTTTTATACTTGGTTGGTTGTGCTGGTAGTATGATGCTATAATTAAAGGGAGAATTTTCTTGTGAAATCTCTTTCAACATTGCACTGTACATTGCTAGCAGGTTTTCTTGACTCTCTTAATGGCCTATCACCAACCAGTGGCTACTTTCTCAATCTTTGTAGTGATTTCACAGTCATCAGTTTCATATTTCACTGGACGAAACAGAGCTGCAGACATTAGACTGTTGAGATTGTGTAAAGAGTGCATGTAGTGTTGCTAGGTAGTTTTAATTTATCCCAATTGTTCTTTTTTCCTCCACTTCTAGTGTGTCTCTTAAGCATTCTTTGTCCCTTTTGGACTTGGAACAAAAACTTAAAGGAATCAGAAGTCTCGTTGAGCAACATAAACCTTCTTCTTGGATTAATAAAGATGGATCCAAATCTTTTTTATGCCATTATATGATGCCAGATGAAGAAACTCCATTGGCAGTTCAGGTGCATATTTCAATACCTGTTTAACCAAACTAACCAAACCAGTTATAGTACTTAATTTACATTTTTTTGCTATCTCTTGACATTTAAATTTCTGGATATCTTAAAAGGTAAGGATTGAAATATGTGTATTAAATATTTTAAATAAAACCTCAGTCATTTAAAAAACAAATTGCAGCTAAGACTGATTTCCATTGTAAACATTTCTGTTTTTAAATACTCAACAAATTAAGTGAAGCCAATGTGAAAAAATGGACTGAAGGAAGTGGCAAATTATTTACATCATTTTAAGTAATCAGTATTTTATTATCACTGGAGCTCCCCGATTAAAACAGGCATGGAAGCAGGAGAGGCATCCACTTCTGAAATAGCTTGCCTCCAGAAACTCTATGAACTCTGAAAAATGATGAAAGTTATACGAGTGTTCAGGTCGTTCATTCATACAGTCTCTATGAGTCGTCTGTGACTCGACTGCACTTAACAACAACAAACAATAGTTTAAGGTTCAAGTCCTTAGGAAATGACATCATGCTGAGAGAAGGGGAAGGTCAGAGAAGAAGAGAAGATCCTCAACACGATGGATTACTATCGTGACTGCAGCAATAGGCTTGAGCCTCTCTCGGATTGTGGGGATGTCGTAGGATAGGGCAAGGGTTGGATCTGTTGTTCATAGAATTGCTGTGAGTCATAGACAGAGCTCTGTTGGCCTAGTTGGATAGAAAAGTATGCTACCAAGCCAAAGATAGGTTACATTAGTCTGCGACCCTCAGACTTAGTTTTAATTGTTTTTGGTCAAACGTTCTTCTAAGTGGTATAGCAGTGATCTGTCAATTTGCTGTACAGAGGTAACTCGAGATTGCTGTGATGCTAAACACTGTGACACTGATGTCTCAAATGCGATAATGGTTACCCATGGTGGACAGTGTTTGGTGGTGCTCTCAAATTAAAACAGGCTTGGAAGCAGGAGTGGCATCCACTTCCGAAATAGCTTGCCTCTGGAAACCCTATGAACTTGGAGAAAGGATAAAGTTATACGAGTGTTCAGGTCTTTCATTCAGAGGGTCGCTATGAGTTGTTTGCGACTAGACAGCACTTAACTACATTATTTTGTTATCTTTATGGTTGATCACACATTTTTTGCCATTTATAGAAATGTACTTCATACATGATAACTGGAGAAGTCTTAGAACAGAGAAACTTCTGTGCTGCCCCTGAGCAGAGAGGCTCTGGCTAGAGTACAGACTGCAGTGTTTTCTCTTGCCTGCACTCTTGTCTTCCTGGAGATCCTAAGGTTGGTCCCATGTGAATGCTGCAAGACCCTACAATTGTGAATAGGCAAAAGAAAATTTGTGTATGATCCCCACTAGTCAACTGCTTGGAATATACTCCAAGAAAATTAGAACTGAGACTCAATGGAAACTTGTACACCAGTGTTTCTAGCAGCATTGATTCGCCATCGCAGAAACATGGAAACAGCCCAGATATCCAACCACAAGCGAATGAGTTGAGAAAGTATGGTACATTCACAGGATGGAATACTACGCAGAATGCAGGAGCAATGATTTTCAAAATCACTACCTGACTTGGGAAAGACTGGAGAGCATTATGCTAAGTGAACTAACTCAGCACTATATAAGACCATTATTGTAGAAATAGATAATTAGAAAAACACGTATCAGGATCCAAGGGTGGGAGGGTAGGAGCAGAAGGGTGAGTGAGGGTAGACCGAGGTCATCACAGGGTTGCACAATTTTATTGGATAAGAGGAGGGGTAGGTAAAGGAAATGGGAATGATCTGATGTGGAAAACAATGAATACGAACTTTGTATGTAAACCAGTATAAAATAAAAAATGTATTTTAAAAAAAGAAAAGATTACGCCAGTATAAGGAAACTCCAGAACTTAAAAAAAAAAACATAATATGTGAAACAGAATTATTAGAAGCAACAGAAGAAAAGTGACTTAAAATGTAGAACCCTCAAGGACATGCAATTATAAAGTACTGGGAAAAGATTTCTGGAAGTCAAAAACTACTGGAAAAGTCAACAGAAGAACTGAAAAATAAAATGAAAAGAACAAATACAGTGAGGAATGATAGAAGAACTGAAAAGAACAAATACAGAGAGGAATGATAGACAGGGATGGTAAAAAGAAACACACACATACACACCCTGGTTAGTGTTCTAGAAGAACTGAAGAAGAAAATGACTGAAAAGAACAAATACAGAGAGGAATGATAGACAGGGATGGTAAAAAGAAAGACACACACACACACACATTGGTTACTGTTCTTATGTTTAAAAAGGGGTTAAGAGTGAGAGACAAAAAGCCCTGGTCTCTCTAGCTTAAAGCCTTTTCTAGTTTTATCTAGATGTACTAGAAGCCTGTTCAAGAAGCATCAGATAAACGAAGATCTACCTTTGGCTCATGTTTTAAATACATTTTAACTGTGCACATGAGCCTTTACAACTTTTTAGGGCCCAAACATTTTTTTTTTATTATTGCTAGACCCTACCTGGACATAAATTTCTTAAACTCTTGGATTTATGAATGTGATTAGTTTCATAATAATGTTGTGTAAATACATGAGACCCTGAAGTATAGCATTTTAACTTTACAGGCCTGTGGGCTTTCTCCTACGGATGTTACCACTATTAAGCTACTCAATGAAACGAGAGACATGTTAGAAAGGTACGTATGCTACACATAGTGGGGGGGTGGGGAAGATGTGTTTATACATTTAATATGCTTATGACCACTTTTCATTTTTGATGAACAAAATATTCATGTAATATTTTGTTACAATTGAGGTTTTCATCTAGTTCCTTGTCGTTAGCTGTGATTATCACACCTCAGCTGGTGGTTCCTTTCCTAGGGGGGAGAGCGGCCTTACCTGACCCCTGACCACTTTTCCTGCCTGGAGCTGCTGATGAATCGTCTGAGCGACGGGAAAGTCGTCAGCCTCACTGATCTTTTGCCGAATCCTTTGAAACCAAATGTTCATAGTCATCCTTTCTCTGCTTCCTGGCACTGGTGACCAGGCTTTCCTTACTTTCAGTTCTCTAGGAGCTTCAATGACCGTGTCATTTCATTTTTATTCCCAACTCTGTTTGATTTCATAGTCTTCAGTCTCTGTTTTCTTTAAGCATTAGTGCATCCCAGGTATTATTCTTTTCTGATTTTTTTTTAAACATATTTTTATTGGGAGCTCTGGTGGCCTAGTGGCAAGAAACTGCACTGCAATTCCAAAGGCACATGGTTCGAGGCCACAAGCTGCTCCATGGGAGAAGGAGGGACAGTCTTCTCCTATGCCATTAACTGCCTCTGAAAACCCGCCAGAGAGTCAGCTATGTGTCAGTTCTGACTCAACCATACACAACAGCAATACCACCATTGATTTGTATACAAAGTACATATATATTGTTTCACACTATCCTTCATTCATATTGTGTTTCATACATTCTCATTCCTTATGTTTTATAAAATCATTCACCATTGAACATTACCCTGTCTTTCCGGATCTCAGCCAGATCTTTCCCATTTCCTTTACCTTTCTCAACCAAATAGTGTGACACTATGATTTCCCCTCTGCCCACCCACACCCCTCTATTACCACCTTTTGCCCCTTTGAATCTCCATGCACATTTCACTAGTTATCTGTCTGTTTTTACAATAATGGTCATATACAATATTTATCCTCATGAGACTGAGTTTGTTCACTCAGCACAATGTCCACCAATCTCTCCCAAGTTAATGTAGTAATTTTCAAAATCATTACTCTTGAGTGCAGTGTAGTATTACATCATGTGAATGTAATTTTTCTCATTTTTAATCATGTTCCAAGTAATTTAATTCAAGATACGAGTGGCAATACTTAAGGATGCTTTGGGCAGAATGTTAAATGATTGAAGAAGCATTAAAAGAAGATAGGAGGAGTATACAGAGTC